AGCCCCGCATCGGGCTCCTTGCTCAGCAGGGAAGCCTGCTTCTCCCTCTCCCACTCCCCCTGCTTGTGTTCCCTCTCTCGCTGTCTCTCTCTCTCTGTCAAAAAATAAATAAAAATTAAAAAAAAAAAAAGAGGTCATATGCACCAAGGCATCAGTAACTGGAGAGATGATGTCATTGAACTCTTTCTTTGGCAAGGTTATAAAATGAATTATAATGTAGGGTTATAAAATTACCTCCTCTACCCCTCGGTAGTCTTCAGCAGGTTGTTTTCTGAAGGCAGTGATATTTAACAAACATGATTATTGATTACTTGAGTCACTTTTCTGTTTTTGAAACAAAAGGAGGAAGGAAACAGAAAGCAGATGGCAGCAAAACATCCTCGCCTGACACACTTTCAAAGGAGGATAGTTCAGAATGTGACCCTACACCATCTAATAGAAGCAAGCTGGAAAAGGTACTGGAATGATGGGTTTCCATGAAGGTTGTGTGACAGCCCAGTAAGATTAACAGGGGATCAGCATCATACTCTGCATTTTACAGAGAGAAAAATTAGAGAAGAGAGAGGCAAACGAACTCTCCTCCGCTTTGGGGCGATTCTCACAGTAGCAGAGTTAGGGTTAGACTCTAAGTCCTTATCACTAGCACACACTGTTTTTTCTAGTCATTTTCTTGAATGTGTCACTCCCTTTTTTATATCCCAGCAGTACTTTGAATTCTCTCTTGTAGCATTAACAAATTTTGTTTTAGGACCTAGTTTTAGATGTACTGCTTTTAGCCTCTTTCCCCCTCTGATCCCAGATTATCAACTTCTCAATGAAGTGAGATAGCATGAAATGCTTTGGACAGTTTCTGATAATCAGTAACCAGTAGTTCCTTTTTCCTGTAAGTCTACCAATCACAGAATAGGTTATATGTTTGTGAAATTGCCTAAATCACATGAATCCCAATTATTTCTGTTTTTTGGCTACTACTTATTGTGTATTATGTATAGCTCCTGTAATCGCCTAAAAACCCAAGATTGGTAGTAATACTTACATTTAATAGGTAAGGAAACTAAGACCCAGAAAGGGTAAGTGACTTGCCCAAGGTCACACAGTTAATAAGGCTTAAGCAAGGGTTTGAAGCCAGACCTGTTTTGTGCCACAGCTCATTGTTTTCTCTACCATGCCATAACACCCTGGTTTGTCTAGTAGTTCATACTTAAGTGGAAACCAACCAAGGGTCTTGATATGTGACCCATATCTCAATTTTAAATTAGGTGCTTTTGTCTCAGGAATATTTAGGGACTTAGGTGAAAGGAAGGCGGTGATTTGCTAAAAAAAAGTAACTTCTGCATAAAATGAATGCATAATTGTACTTTGAGGTCTTTCTGAAAAATCAGGTTAATATTGTCCTTATTATTCTGTTGGTTGCTGCTGCTTTCTCCCCAGGAGTTCAAAGGGAAAGAAGAAAAGACATCAGTGTCACTACAGAATTACCACGCTTTTTTCCGAGAACTGGACATTGAGGTCTTCTCTGTTATGCGTTGTGGGCTTGTGACCAAGTTCATCTTAGATACTGAAATGCACACTGAAGTAAGTCACAGAGCTGAGATCCTAGAATTGAATCTTGTTTCAGAAAATTTCTCAGCCCAGGGTACCTGGGTGGCGCAGTTGGTTAAGCATCTGACTCTTGGTTTCAGCTTGGGTTGCCATCTCAGAGTCATGAAGTCAGCCCCAAGTCTGGCTCAGCACAGAGTCTGCTTGGGATTCGCTCTCCCTCTCTCCACCCCTCCTACTCGTGCTTGCATGCTCTGTCTCTCTCTCTCTCTCTTGCTCTTGTTCTCAAATAAATAAGTCTTTGAAAAAAAAATTTCTCAGCTCTATTCTTATTGTAAAAAGAACACCATGGCATTAAGAGAAGGTGGACTCTGGCTTCCAGAGCTTTTATATATAGTGAAAGTAATGATAAATAATCATCCTCATCATCTTTTTTTTTTTTTAAGGTAAGCAACCTATTTATTTATTCATTTATTTATTATTAAAGTAAGCTCTAGGCCCAACATGGGGCTTGAACTCATGACCTTAAGATCAAGAGTCACATGCTTGGGATGCCTGGGTTGCTTAGTCGGTTAAACATGTGACTTCAGCTCAGGTCATGATCCCGGGGTCCTGGGATTGAGCCCCCATGTCGGGGCTCCCCGCTCAGCGGAGCGTCTACTTTTCCCTCTCCCAGTCATGCTCTGTCTCTCTCTTTCGAATAAATAAATAAAATCTTAAAAAAAAAAAAAAAGTCACACGGTCTACTGACTGAGCCACCCAGGTGCCCCCATCATCATCTCGATGTTTAAATAAATATAATTTTTTTACAATGTATTAGACATTATGAAAGATCATGCTAATGATATGATCCTTATTTTAGTTTACTACTAATAACTATTTAGATTACTCTTGTAGAGCAGCGCTGTTCTGGTTTATAGAGGTTAATGCTGTTTTCGCTGTTTCATGATGTTTGTTTAGCATCCATCAGATGTTTATCCAGGCCTTTTTTATGTGTTACACTAATCTAGACATTGGCAGTACACTAGTGCATACAGCATGATGCTAGCCTTCAAATAGCTCATAATCTAATAAAGGTAGCAGACATAACTAGCAGTATGTGCTATATCGAAGGTCTGAACCAAGTACCAGTGAAACTCTGAGGAGAGAATGGTATTTATAATGAAATTGGAAGTAGAGCACATTTTCACAGAAGAGGTAACTTTTGATAAGGGATTTCACCAGAGTAGTTTCTTCAGGTTAAAAAAAAAGAGAGAGGGGCGCTGGATGGCTCAGTCATTAGAGCATGCAACTCTGGATCTCCTGGTCCTGAGTTCAAGCCCCACTTTGGGCCTAGAGCTTATTTTAAAATAAATAAATAAAATAAAAAAGTAAAAACTAAAAAGAAATATCATGGAATTTACTATAAATTTTTTTATAAGAATGTAAGCTCCTTCACAGTAAAGATAGTATCTACCCTCCCACCCTACCCCAATCTTTCTACATCAGCTTGGAGATTCTCCATAAATGTTTATTGTGTAAACAGTTTGAAATGAGATTGCATTTGGCTCATTCTGCTTCTGGTAGTGTTATACCTTTTTAGGGACCCAGCATGGAGTTAATAGTAGCAAAACATTAAGGGAAAGAATATATGAAAGGATTATTTAATGAACAGAGAAAAGCAAAATTCCCTTGAATTAGTCCTTTTTTATCCTAGGGTACTTAGGAAGTGCACCTCAAGTCCACAGCTGGAAGGATACACAGAGACATTTACTTCTAGAGAAAAAGTATGTCTTGGGATGCCTGGCTGGCTCAGTCGCTTAAGCGTTAAGCATCTGCCTTCGGCTCAGGTCATGATCCCAGGGTCCTTGCTCAGCGGGAAGCCTGCTTCTTCCTCTGCCCCTCCCCCTGCTTGTGCTCTTTCTCTCTCTCTCTGACAAATAAACAAAATCTTTAAAAAAAAAAAGAAAAGTATGTTTTCTAAAACTATACTCACTTGGATTCCTATTTTAATAATTTGAAATTGGTTTTACTTTGGGAGTGCTTGACTTTTTGATTCGTTGACAGAGCACAACAGCCATTTATATGAGGTGGGGAAATTTCCCCCTTTTTTGGGAATGGTCAGATTCTTCACCCACTGGGAAGAGTAAACCTGAAATGTGCTCCTTCAAAAAGATAGCGAGGACATGCTTGGAATTATCCTTTCTTTCCTCCTTGTGACAGGCTACGGAAATTGTGCAACTTCAGCCTCCTGAGCTGCTTTTCTTGCTGGAAGATCTCTCCCAGAAACTGGAGAATATGCTGACACCCTCTGTTGCCAGGAGAATCCCCTTCCTCAAGGTTAGTATAGGCAGAAGCACAAGCCCTGGCCTTAATGAATTTGGAAACCAGGAGGTCTTAATGAATAAGTTATCACTTTCTCTGGCATTATGTTTGGGTCACTGGGTAGCATGGTGGCAGCCTCATTTCTAGAGCCCATTCACCTTGCTTTAGAAAGGAACTCTGAAACAGAGAAATAAAAAAAGCCACCCCAAACAGGATGTATATTTCTAAATGCCCTGAGCATTCCTGAATCCTGTTCTTAATTTGGGTTTTGCTTTTAAAAGCCTTCCAAACTGAACCCGTGCCCAAGCCTCAGTGTAGTAGTAGTTGGCTATCTAGAGAAGGCCAGAGCCTCATATGTGTATATAATGTACAAATGTGCATGTAGCATCTGGTGAAGCAGTGGAATGATGCTAACAACAGAACGTGAAAGTTTTAGGTGTAAACATTTAAACATTAATATATCCAGTTGTTTGATTTTTTTTTTTGTACTCACTATTTGCTCGATGTTTTTATCAGCCTAAATGATTTCTATTTTTGTGTGCGCTTTATCTCATTAGTAATTATGGGTCTATACTTCTCAGTCAAACACTTTGTACTCTATAAAAGCCAGTCTCTTGGTAATTTGAAGACGGGGCAAGATCCCTCTGTCAGAATAGAGTTTTAGGCAAGCAACCAATTTCTTCTGTCAACTCCTGCCTTGTGACCCAGGTCTGACTAAACTCCTTAACAAATTCTGTTTCAGAGAAGCTATACAGCGGTTTCTTCCCCCAGTAACTCTGAATTTATTATAGAGTAAAGGAAACCGGAATATTGGATTCTCACATCTCCATCAGAGATCTGCCCAAGAAATTGCTCATAGTATTGTTCAACTGCTAGCTCCAATGTGTAACCATCTGGAGAACATTCACAACTATTTTCAGGTCAGCAGCCTATCTTACATAGAAATTTAGAAATTACTGGGATGCCTAGGTGGCTTAGTTCGTTGAGTGTCTGACTCTTGGTTTCGGCTCAGGTCATGATCTCATGGGTCCTGGGATTGGCCTGCATAGGGTTCTGCGCTCGGTAGGGAATCTGCTTGAAGAATCTGTCCCTCTGCCCTCCCCCAACTCTCATGCGTACGTGTGCTCTCTCTTTCTCAAATGGGTAAATAAATCTCTAAAAAAAAAAAAATTTAGAAATTACTAAGTGAATAAGAGATTTCATTTTTGGCTGAGAAATATTGAAGGAGAAGTGAGGGCAATTGCTGAAACAACTGTCCTAAAAGCATTTTTCCTTTTTAGTGCTTAGCTGCTGAGAACCATGGTGTAGTTGATGGCCCAAGAATGAAAGTTCAGGAGTACCACATAATGTCTTCATGCTATCAGAGGCTACTGCAGATTTTTCATGGGCTTTTTGCTTGGTGAGTAAGTGGCAGATGTGGTAGGTAGAAATAATCAAGTATGCACTTGCTTTTATTTGGCAGTCACCAAGGCACTGAGGTAAAGAAGAAGGAAAAGGCTCCGAAAGTCTTATGTAAATATGGTACTTGTTCTTTTTGAAGTGTTCTTGTCTGCATCATTTTGTTTGATGTTGTACCCTCTGTGTCTTACATGGCAATGATTTTAACTTTTTTGAAAATTAGGTTACTTGATATTGGCTAACCTGTAACAGATTGGGCCATCTGATTCTTAACCGGGTTTCCGTGGCAGCCTGTCCATAATAACACTGGAGAGACTTTTACTTAAGAAATTGTTACTGGGGCACCTGACTGGCTCTTGATCTCAGGGTTGTGAGTTGGAGCCCCACACTAGGTGTAGAGATTACTTAAAAATAAAATCTTTTAAAAATGTTGTTAACTGAACAACTTGTAGATAAATTTCAGATTATATTTTAAAGAGCTGAATACATTTTGAGCTGGGGTATTTTGAGATACTTTGTGGAAGCAATGGGATTTCATAGGGTCCTGAAGGATAGATGGCATTTTGGGAGGTAGAGGAAGGGTCGGGAAGGCGTGGCATGGGTGAAAGTAGAAATGAGGGAGATGTGTCCTTTAAATGCTTTTGTTCTTCAAGGCTGGGCTCTGGCTCCTCTCTTATGCAGGTTTTCTGGGCAGTCTCACCCAAGCTTAAATTTGTGCTGAAATTTATGTTCTGAGTTACAGGCATTTATATCCAACTGCCTACTCAACACTTCCTTAGATGTGTCATTGACACCTCAGACACATCCCATCCAAAATGGAATGTATCACCCTCACCACAGCTCCTTCAGCTTTGCCGGGCTACGTAAATGGTACCACCAGTGTCTGAGCCAGAAACCAGCAGTTGTTCTTTGTCCCTTTCTCTACCTTTTCTCTCTCCCACATCAGATCCCCAAATCCTGTTAATTTTATCTTTTAAATAACATCTAAGTAGCCATCTGTTGCTCTCCTGCTGCACTGCTTTGAGACTCCCATCATCTCACCTGGATGAGATTAGTTTCACAGTTGGTCTCTGCCTCCAGTTACCTCCCTCAGTCCCTTCTTCACATAGTAGTCAGTGGTCTTCCCATTGCAAACCCAATCTTATCCTGTCCCAACTTTGGTTCTGGTTGTCCTTAGATTTTTCTTGAGTTCAGTCTTTTCCCTAGCTTCTAAGGCCTTTTATTATCTGGCTCCTGCTCTTCCACTCATCTTACATTATGCCCTCCAGCTATATGCTGAATTACTTTCAGTACCCTTTACTGCTTTCACCTGGAAGACTTCACACATAGTCATTCTTCTACCTGGATCCCCACCCTCCTTGATCACCAGTCTTTTCTTTTTTAATTTTTTATTGTTATGTTAATCACCATACATTACATCATTAGTTTTTGATGTTCCATGATTCATTGTTTGTGCATAACACCCAGTGCTCCATGCAGAATGTGCCCTC